CCGCTGCCGCCGACGTCTGGGGAGACTTTGCCAAAGCTCCGGGGTGAGGCCGCGGGGGATTTGTCCTGCGGCGTGGGCGATCCCCACCCTATCCCCACCAAATCCCGCCGGATTTGCTGAAAACCTCTGCTGGGATGGGGGTGCTGCTCCATCCAAACTGCTCCATCCAAACACCCGCTCGGGGATTTAAAAGCAAAATTCCCCGAGTTCGGTGCCGTTCTGTGGGCACTGCCTTCCTCTTCCTCACCCCGTCTTCCCGCTGCTGCCGTGGGCCGCAGGGGAAAGAGATTTGGGATGAGCCGTTTGCAGCTTCCCCGCTCCCTCCCTGCGCGCCGCAGCCCCTTTCGGTGTCCAAAACCTCTTTTTCCTCCTCTTTTTCCTTTCTCTCCAGGTCGTCTTCTAACCAGACTGGGTGGGTTCAATTCTGACCCGGACCCCTCATCCTCTCTTCCCCGCGCCAGTGCTGGGAACGTCGTGATTCCTTCAGGACCAAAGCAGGGGGGATTCATGACACCCCCCCTCCTGCCCTTAAATCCCACCCAACTCCGGCATCGAAACGCTGAAATGCTGGAGAGCAACCAAAAACGTGCCTTAAAATACTTCCAACCGGCACCTTCCGCGTCAGAGGCCTTTTATTTTCTACCCGGATCGCGGCAAATATCGGAGACTTCGCCTTTCTGCCCCCTCCTCCCAAAAAAAAGCCATCAGCTTCATCGCCTCCTTAATAACGAGAGGGTGCTCGGAGCAGGAGGGCTCTCGCTCACGGTGCTGCCCCGATTTAGGGTAATTTTCACGCCATAAAACCTCCTCGGAGACTTCTCCGCTTTCTCCTCGCGTGTTTGGGGCGGATAAATCCTTCCCTCGGCTGGGAGCATCCTCCTGGAGCCATCTCGCCCGCGACATCCGGATGAACACGGAGCGTCGCCTCGATATATTTCCCCGAGCGCTTAAGTCTGCGATTCGGGAGGTGGGGAGCCGAACCGCTGCGTTTCGATGCTGAAATTCCTATTTTCTTGCTCTGGGAAGTTTTATTTTGGGTATTTTTTTTTCCCTCCTCTCACTCGAAGACAGATTATTTTTACTTCTTTCCGCGGATATTTTATAAAGCGCTGTATGCGACGGACAGAACGGAGTCGGTCTCTTTGACAGAGCTGGAGTTGAGATTCTTGCAACAAATAAATATTTTCTTACCTATTTATATTAAAGCTTTTCCGTGTCCAAAGTCCCGCTTTATTTTATTTCATTTTTTTTTCAGCATTTCCATTTCCAGCTTTAGTTTCAGAGCTTAAAATTTGCCCGGCAGCACACGAGCAAACCCAGGTGAGAGACGGAACGTTTCCAAGCGAATTATAAAATGGTTTTGATGCCAAATCCGATTTTTTTTTTTTACCCCCTCGCGATGAGCTTTTGTGGTTTCCCTCCTCCTCCTCCTCCTCCTCGCTGCTGTCGAGGAGACGGCGTCGGACAGCGGAGCACAACAGACACTTGTTGCTTAGCAGTGGTTTTACGGTCCCGAAGGGCTCCGGGAGGGGAAGGTAAGGAAGGAAATGAGGGAAAAAAAGGAGATTTCTTGTGTGAGGGGAAACATTGAGGCAGGAGGGACCGGAGATGCTGTAAATCCTCCATCCCATCCGCTCGCCCCAACTGGGAGACGCTGACTCTCTCCGGAGCGTGACTGGGAGACACATCCGTGGTTTTTTTTCGGGAGTGGGGATTCCTCCAGCCCCCGGCACGGTTGGATTTTGGGTTCGGATCAGGGATTTACCAGCAGCTTTCCCTGCTGGAGTGGGGGCAGAAAGCCCCTAATTACCCCAAATTTGCTGCCCCGGCGTGGCTGCAGCACAGGGGGGGGGCACGTCTGCGGGGGGGGGTTTAATGCCGCGTTGCCCCGTAGCGACCCCGGCACGCTCCACCCCAAAGCTTTTCCTGTCGGAGCCAACTCCTGGGATTTAATGAGCTTAACGAGGGCCAGGATTTAACGAAAGGGCCGGTCGACTCTCTCCGAGGAGCTCCTTTCACCAGTGGCACCCAGCACCATCCTGCCTGGGGGGGCACAGCCCACCAAAGTAAGGCCGTTTCCAGTGATTTTGGGATACGGGGAAGCGCCGGGTGCTGGGATTTTTTGGTATTTTCCTTTCTTTTGCTCATTCCCCTCTCGCCAAGAGCCTCAGTGGTTGTTTTTCCGTACAAAGCCCGGCTCGGCCGGCGGAATATTCGATGCTTTTTGGTG